CACTCTGTCGCCCAGGCTGGAGTGCAGTGGCACGATCCCAGCACACTGCAACCTCCGCTTCTCAGGTTCAAGTGATTCTCCTGCCTCAACCTTCTGAGTAGCTGAGATTACAGGCACATACCACCACACCCAGCTAATTTTTGTATTTTAGTAGAGACAGGATTTCACCATGTTGGCTAGGCTGGTCTTGAACTCCTGACCTCAGGTGATCCACCCGCCTTGGCATCCCAAAGTGCTGGGATTACAGGCGTGAGCCACCATGCCTGGCCTCATTTTATTTTTTCTAACAGCTTCATTGAGATATAATTCACATACCATAAAATTCACCTATTTAAACTGTACAATTCAGAGGTCAATCATCACCACAATTACTTCTAGAACATTTTATCATCCCCTAAAGAAACTTTTTACCCTTTGGCAGTCACTTCCCATTTCCCCTCAACCCTTAAAATATTTTTAAAAAATGTTTAAGGGGCCGGGCGTGGTGGCTCATGCCTATAATCCCAGCACTTTGGGAGGCCGAGGTGGGCGAATCACGAGGTCAGGAGATCGAGACCATCCTGGCTAACACGGTGAAACCCCTCTCTACTAAAAATACAAAAAATTAGCCAGGCGTGGTAGTGGGTGCCTGTAGTCCCAGCTACTCGGGAGGCTGAGGCAGGAGAATGGCATGAACCGAGGAGGCGGAGCTTGCAGTGAGCCGAGATCGCATGACTGCACTCCAGCCTGGGTGACAGAGCAAGACTCTTTCCCCCAAAAAAAGAAAAAAATAAGTTTAAGGATATAGATGACCCCTACCTGCATCCCCAACCTCATTTCTTTTTTATAATTTTTAATACCCAAGTTCTGCCTCAGGATCTATCCCAACCTCATTTTATAACACTCTTCCCCTTGTTCATTTTACTTCAGCCACTGTGACTTAAGTTCTTTTTGTCTTCTCAGAGATGTTGTTTGCTTGCTGTTTCCACTAGAAATCTCAGCTCTTAGTGTGCCTGACCAGACATCATCTCCACGGAAAAGATACTCCTATTTTACATACAGAAGATCCTCTTTCAGCCCTCCAACCCCACCCCAGTTGCTTTCTAGCTCATCTTCCTGATTTCCTTTATAGCATTTACCACAATCTAAAATTTTATTTACTTATCTGTTTTGTTTCACAAGAACACGTGCTCAACAAAGGAACAGACTTATGGTCACTGTTACATCTACTGTTGAATGTTCACTACCTGGCTGGGCAAGGTGGATCATGCCTGTAATTCCAGCACTTTGGGAGGCCGAGGCGGGTGGATCACCTGAGGTCAAGAGTTCGAGACTAGCCTGGCCAACATGGTGAAACCCCACCTCTACTAAAAATTCAAAACATTAGCTGGGTGTTGTGGTGGGCACCTGTAATCCCAGCTACTCGGGAGGCTAAGGCAGGAGAATCTCTTGAACCTGGGAGGCAGAAGTTGCAGTAAGCCTAGTCAACAAGAGTGAAACTCTGTCTCAAAAAAAGAAAGAAAAGAATGTTCAGTACCTATGTTCAGTGCCTAACACACAGTAGGTGCTCAATAAATATTTGTTCAATGAATGGAGGCCATGGTAAGAGAAAAGATAGTGTTTTAGGGGAACTTGAAATGGTTGAGCATGGCTACAGTATAGGTTAGGGTCTGAGTTGATGCTGGAGAAGAAGCCATTAAGAGCTTCATATATCATTATAAGGAGTTTGCATTTTATCCTGAAGGCAAAGGAAAGCCATAAAATATTTTGAATAAGGGGAATGGCATTACATTTGATTTTTAAAAATCACTTTGGGCCTGGTGTGGTAAGTCATGCTTGTAAAATCAGTGTTTTGGGAAGCTGAGGTGGGCAGATCCCTTTTGAGGCCAGCTTGTGCAACACGGTGAAACCCCATCTCTACAAAAAATATACAAAAAGTAGCCGGCGTTTTTTTTGTTTTGTTTTGTTTTTGAGATGAAGTCTTGCTTTGTCACCCACGTTGGAGTGCAGAGGCGTGATCTTGGCTCACTGCAACCTCCATCTCCTAGGTTCATGCAATTCTCCTGCCTCAGCCTTCTGAGTAGTTGGGATTACAGGCATGCGCCACCACGCCTGGCTAATTTTTGTATTTTTAGTAGAGACAGGGTTTCACCATATTGGTCAGGCTAGTCTTGAACTCCTGACCTCAAGTGATCCACCCACCTCAGCCTCCCGAAGTGCTGGGATTACAGGCGTGAGCCACCATGCCCAGCTTAGCCAGGCATTATTGCACACACCTGTAGTCTCAGCTACTTGGGGTGCTGAGGCAGGAGAATTGCTTAAGCCCAGGAGGTCAAGGCTGCAGTGAGCTATAAGCACACCACTGCACTCCAGCCTGGGCGACAGAGTGAGACCCTGTCTCAAAAAAAAAATCACTCTGGAGATGACGTGATAAATGGATTATAGATAGATGGGTTACAGTGTAGGCAGAAATATTAGTCAAGACACTGCAGGGATCTAGGGAAGAAATAATGGGGTGTAAGGGTATCAATTAATGTAATTAATGTAGAGGCAATAGTAATGGAGAGAGGATTTAGACTCCTACATATCTCACTTACATAAATTGGGTTTTCATATAGGAACCTGAAGAAAATACCTTTATTCTCGGCCAGGAACGGTGGCTCATGCCTGTAATCCCAGCACTCTGGGAAGCCGAGGCAGGTGGATCAGGAGGTCAGAAGTTCGAGACCAGCCTGGCCAACATGGTGAAACCTGTCTCTACTAAAGATACAAAAAATTAGCTGGGTGTGGTGGCAGGCACCTATAATCCCAGCTACTTGGGAGTCTGAGGCAGGAGAATCACTCCTCCTGGGAGGTGGAGGTTGCAGTGAGCCGAGATTGCGCCATCGCACTCCAGCCTGGGTGACAGGGTGAGACTCCATCTCAAAAAAAAAAAAAAAAAAGTTATTCTCTTAGGGCTGGGCGCAGTGGCTCAAGCCTGTAATCCCAATACTTTTGGAGGCTGCAGGCGGATCACCTGAGATCAGGAGTTCGAGACCAGCCTGGCCAACATGGTGAAACCCCATCTCTGTTAAAATTACAAAAATTAGCTGGGCGTGGTGGCATATGCCTGTAATCCCAGCTATTCAGGAGGCTGAGGCAGGAGAATCGCTTGAACCCAGGAGGTGGAGTTTGCAGTGAGTCGAGATTGCGCCACTGCACTCCAGCCTGGCGACAGAGTGAGCGCGAGACTCCGTCTCAAAAAATGTATACATAAATAAAAATAAAGTTATTCTCTTGTTACACTTAGATTTTTTAAAAATTAGGTTTAGTCCACTATTTACAGATAGAGAACTCCATTCACAGAGGAAAGTAGATGGATTCGAGGTGATGATTTTCTAACTTGGCCAATTATCAAGATCACCTCGTGGGTTTGTAAAATAATTTCAGGAGGGGTCAGGGCAAGAGTGAAGAACTGTTTAGACATAATCATTCAGACAACTCTGTAAGGCATCTAGGTAGGTTTTGGGGTATATAGATCTAGAGTTTGAGAGTTCTAAGATAAAGATTTTGGATTAATGATCAAAAGCATCACAAAAGCCACACAGGTGGATTAGATCATCTGGTGAGAAAGGAGGTTAAAGCATAGGCCAGGTGCAGTGGCTCACACCTATAATCCCAGCACTCTGGGAGACAGAGGCGGGAGAATTGCTTGAGGCTAGGAGTTCAAGACCAGCCTGGGCTGTATAGCAAGATCCATCTCTACCAAAAAAAAAAAAAAAGGAAAAACAGAAAAGGAGAGAGAGACTAGAACAGAATCTTGGTAAACAGTGACATTTAAGGGAAGGAAGACAAAGAAAAAGCAATAAAGGAGACTGAGTAGGAGTGGCTGGTGAAAAAAGAAAGCCAGGACAATGAGTTATAAGAGGGAGTGCTCAAAGGTGTCAAGGCCACAGAGACCTCTTCCTGCTAGATTATGACGCTTCTGTAAAATAATACTATATTACCTTATCTAGTGAGTCCTAGAGTTAAATGATTATCAAAGTCCCTGAATTTCTTAAAATATACAGAAGCAAGCTGAGCGTGGTGGCTCACGCCTGTAATCCCAGGACTTTGAGGAGGCCGAGGTCAGGAGATCAAGACCATCCTGGCTAACACAGCGAAAACCCATCTGTACTAAAAATACAAAAAATTAGCCAGGGGTGGTGGCACGTGCCTGTAGTCGCAGCTCCTCCGGAGGCTGAGGCAGGAGAATCGCTTGAGCCCAGGAGGTGGAGGTTGCAGTGAGTCAAGATCGCACCACTGCACTCTGGCCTGGGTGACAGAGACTCTGTCTCAAAATAAATAAATAAACACACACACACACACACAGAAGCAAAACTGTTGGGATAAACCCTGTGAATCTGCATTTTATTTTTATTTTTATTTTTTGAGACAGAGTCTCGCTCTGTTGCCCAGGCTGGAGTGCAGTGGCACGATCTCAGCTCAGTGCAACCTCCGCCTCCTGGGTTCAAGTGATCCTCCTGCCTCAGCCCTCCTAGTAGCTAGGATTACAGGCACGTACCACCATGCCTGACTAATTTTTGTATTTTTAGTAGAGACAGGGTTTTGCCATGTTGGCCAGGCTGGTCTTGAACTCCTAACCTCAGGCGATCCACCCACCTCGGCTTCTCAAAGTGCTGGGATTACAGGCGTGAGCCACAGTGCCTGGCCTGTGAATCTGCATTAAAAAAAAGACTTCCTAGGTGATTCTGATATGCAGTTGAGTTTGGGAACTGTTAATTTAAACCACTTGTTTGATTTGAAAACAGAGAAATTTAATTAAAAGCAATGGATAGAGACCTAAAAATAAAAATCTAGGTATATTAGCAGAATAATTTTGATAGTTTATGTTATAATCTCTCATTGGAAGGAACAGAAACAAGTACTTAGCTTTCCACAATTAAGCCTTATAATGATGCCATAAGAATAAACTAATCCCCAAAGTCAAGAATTTATCATTTTCAAACACTTTTTTAAAAAGTTGGTGAATAACAAAGAGCTAGGATTAAATAATTTATTAAAAAAAACTTTTCTCATAAATCTGTTTCATCAGCATATATGATAATATCATATGTATTCTTAATTGGAGTAGAAACATTTTTTAAATTACTGTGAAAAACAAGAGTGAGATTCCAGGAACGATTGTGCCCTAAAGAAATCTGGTTTAGGCCGGGCGCTGTGGCTGACGCCTATAATCACAGCACTTTGGGAGGCCGAGGCGGACGGATCACGAGGTCAAGAGATGGAGACCATCCTGGCTAACATGGTGAAACCCCATCTCTACTACAAATACAAAAAAATTAGCCGGGCGTGGTGGCAGGTGCCTGCAGTCCCAGCTACTTGGGAGGCTGAGGCAGGAGAATGGCATGAACCCGGGAGGCGGAGCGAGCTTGCAGTGAGCGGAGATCATGATGCCATTATATTCCAGCCTAGACTACAGAGTGAGACTTCGTCTCAAGAAAGAAAAAAAAAAAAAGAAAGAAAAAAATCTGGTTTAAAAGATAGGCATGTTGATTGAACACTGACCTGAATTGTCAATTGAAACTAAAGCTTTTTCTCATTTCTCCACCTAAATACAGGAAAACAAATATAACGTGTTGAGTTTGTAAGTTCTCCAGATGTCAAAATTGGTCTGGTTGATTAATCAAGTTAAATTATTTAATTCTATTTTCTATTCCTAAATACAATAACTAAATATAAATCACTGCTCAACAATGAATAAAGGTGGAACTCTAATTCTATCCAATTAGTTTTAAAATGTATTATTTTGAGAACCAAGTCTTTCTCCTAGCTAAGTAAATGAAACTTTCAGTACTTTTTGGGTGTTTTTGTTTGTTTGTTTGTTTGTTTGTTTTTTCTGAGACAGGGCTTACCTCCTGTCACTCAGGCTGGAGTGCAGTGGCCATGATCTCAGCTCACTGCAATCTCCGCCTCCCAGGCTCAAAAGATTCTCTTGCCTCAGCCTCTCAAGTAGCTGGGATGACAGGCGCATGACAGGATGCCCAGTTAATTTGTATTTTTGTAGAGATGGGGTCTCACGATATTGGCCAGGCTGGTGTCAAACTCCTGAGCTCAAGTGATTTGCCTGCCTTGGCCTCCCAAAGTGCTGGGATTACAGGCGTGAGCCACCGCGCCCAGCCAAATGAAACTTTCCTTTAAGGAACAAGTGCATTTTTAATAGATTCTGGAACTCGGCTTGCATAGTAGTCATAATTCCTCAGTGTGGCCAGGACTCCTGCAGAGTTCATATGCTTCACATCCTTGTGGTATTGAAGAACATTCCCATGGATATCAGTTAACTTGCCTATAGAAAAACATCAATCAATTAATCAATCACTCAAGTTAGTGGCTAATTGGATTGTGGTTTTTCTAGTTATTTTTAAGTAACTTTTGCTTGCTTATCCAATAGTAGCCAATAAATTCTGGATAAAAGAATGAGTGTTCATAAAGGTTAAGTTTTAATTCACTTGAAATTTAAGACTACAGAACAATTTTAACTAACTAAAGGATATAAAATTATTTTTTCTCTGATTAAAATTAATTTTATTTAGCATTTTCTTTTCTTGTCTTTTTTTTTTTTTGAGATGGAGTCTTGCCCAGGCTGGAATGCAGTGGCATGATCTTAGTTACTACAACCTTGGTTTACTACAAGCCCAGGAGTTCAAGGCTGCAGTGAGCCACGACTGCACCACTGAATTCCAGCCTGGACAACAGAGACCTTGTGTCAAAAAAAAAAAAAAAAAAGGCTATAAATAAGGGCTAGATTAAATTAACTGTATGCAGATCAAAGTTCAAAAAAGGAGACTATAACTAAAGTAAAACTTGCTGAAAATCTACTCTTTTATCCATCGATCATATGAGGGGTTTGGACTGGATAATCTCTAAGCTTCCTTCTAGCTTTTATATCATAACAGTCTAAGTAAAATAATATTACTGAAATATTATGTCATAGCATGATATAATTGTAGAAAAACTATGAATTTCCCAAAATAAAACAGACTAACCTCCCACAGCATGTAAAATAACTTCTGGAGCACAAGTATCCCACTTCTTACAACCAGGACTTGCAAATACATAAGCAGAGGCTTTGCCTTCAATCAGCTGAATAATCTGTAAGGGTAAAAATAAGAATTATCCTTTGATAATAGGAAGAATAATTGAAAGTCATGAAAAGATTGAGGTACAGATAAGAAAAACTGCTTATTTCTATCAAGGATATTTAATCAGTTCCTCTGTTAAACTCAACTTAAAACTTTTAGCAGGTTTAAATTATACCAGTATTATGAAGAAATACATAGAATAAATGCATAATAATATAGTGATATGAAGAAAAAATAATGGTCAAAAAAGCTACAAAGAGGATATCTGGTCTCCACATTCCAAGTTACATAAAGTAACACGTTTCTTTTATTGACGTTGTTTTTCTTTTTTAGCGTAAAAGCAATATACATTTACTACAGAATTAAAGTCTTTTTCAACATCTTAAAAACTGACCATTTATTAGAGGGCTGCACATGGTGGCCCACTCCTGTAATCCCAGCACTTTGGGAGGCTGAGCAGGTGGATCACTTGCAGCCAGGAGTTTGAGACCAGCCTGGCCAACATAGCAAAACCCATCTCTACTAAAAATACAAAAAATTAGCTGGGTGTGGTGGTGCATGCCTGTAATCCTAGCTACTTGGGAGGCTGAGGCAGGAGAATTGCTTGAACCTGGGAGGTGGAGGTTGTAGTGAGCCAAGACTGCACCACTTCATTCCAGCCTGGACGACAGAGTGAGACTCTGTCTCAAACAAACAGCCCCACAACCAAAAAAAACCAAAAAACAAAACAAAAACCCCTGACCATTATTAAATAAAGGACAGAGAAGTATCAAGCAGTACAATAATGTATAAATTGTAATAGATCCTAACAGAAGTGCAATGTGACTAGTCTAACAAGTACTTTCGTAAGTCTTGGGATCACACGTATTCCCATTTCACTACCAAAATACAAACTTTTTTTTTTTTTTTTAATATTTGAGATTTATTCTAAGCCAAATATGAGTGACCATCGCCTGTGACACAGCCCTCAGGAAGTCTTGAGAACATATGCCCAAGGCAATTGGGAGCAGCTTGGTTGTATACATTTTAGAGAGGCATGAGACATCAATCAAATACATTTAAAAAATACATTCATTTGGTCCAGAAAGGTGGAACAACTCAAAGCAGTGGGGGCAGGGAGGCTTCCAGGATATAGGTGAATTTAAGTATTTTCTGATTGGCAATTGGTTGGGTTTGTTTAAAGACCCAGGATCTATAGAAAGGGAATGTTCAGGCTGGGTGCAGTGGCTCATGCCTGTAATTCCAGCACTTTGGGAGGCCGAGGTGGGCGGATCACCTGAGGTTGGCAGTTAGAGACCAGCCTGACCAACATAGAGAAACCACGTCTCTACTAAAAAAAATACAAAATTAGCCAGGTGTGGTGGCAGGCCCCTGTAATCCCAGCTACTTGGGAGGCTGAGGTGGGAGAATTACTTGAGCCTGGGAGGCGGAGGCTGTGGTGAGCCGAGATCATGCCATTGCACTCCAGCCTGGGCAACAAGAGTGAAACTCTGTCTCAAAAAAAAAAAAAAAAAAAAATCAGATTTTAGTTAATCTCTTTAGGATTTGGAGGGTCTGAAAGAAAAAGAGTTAGCTATGTTAACAGAGATTCTTTACAGACGCAGATTTTTCCCCACAAAGAACAGCTTTGCAGCGCCACAAAATATAAGTTTTATAGAGTCATCCTAACAATTCCTCTAATACTGATACACAACTGAGATCACTGCTAGAACTTGCGTGACTCTAAATGGTAACTTGCTATCAAGCTTTCATTAGTCAATTGACTTTTTTTGGTTATAGTGTAAATTAATTATTATTATAAAACTCAGACTCCACTAAAAATACAAAAATTAGCCAGGCATGGTGGCAGGCGCCTGTAATCCCAGCTACTTAGGAAGCTGAGGCAGGAGAATCACTTGAACCCGGGAGGCAGAGGTTGCAGTGAGCTGAAATCACACCATTGTACTCCAGCCTGGGCAACAGAGCAAGACTCAGTCTCGAAAAAACAAACAAACAAACAAACAAACAAACAAAAACTATTCAGAAGATATATAAGTAGGACCAGATTGATAAATGTGAGGCAGGAAGGAGTCTAAGATGACTTTCAGGTGTTTGGCTGGATCAGTTAGAAAAATGGTGGTGTCATTAGCCGGATAGTAAAACAGGGAGAGAAACACATCCAGAGGTGGGTAGAAAGAGGATGAACTCAAATTGGACACGCTGAATTTGAGATACCTGAGGGATGTCATCATAATGATATCTAGGGGACAATCAGATGACAAGAGATCAGGGCTAGGGATGTAGATCAATTTGTGTCCCATTTCATAATTCTCTCAGCAGGTTGGAAACCTGGATGAAAGAATGGGGGAAACAGACAAGAAGCGGGCAGGCGGGCCCGATCTTAGAGTCTGTAGAAGGTAGAGGAGATAATCTAAGAGGGTCCTTGGCAAAATAAGGTCTTTGGCAAGAAGCATGGAGCCTTACCCTGATGACTTCCATTAACATTGAATTCTCGGCTGGGCGCGGTGGCTCAAGCCTGTAACCCCAGCACTTTGGGAGGCCGAGACGGGCGGATCACGAGGTCAGGAGATCGAGACCATCCTGGCTAACACGGTGAAACCCCATCTCTATTAAAAATACAAAAAAAAAAACACTAGCCGGGCGAGGTGGCGGGCGCCTGTAGTCCCAGCTACTCCGGAGGCTGAGGCAAGAGAATGGCGTGAACCCGGGAGGCGGAGCTTGCAGTGAGCTGAGATCCGGCCACTGCACTCCAGCCTGGGCGACAGAGCGAGACTCCGTCTCAAAAACAAAACAAAAAAAACAACAACATTGAATTCTCTCAGATAATAAAACAAACAAACAAAAAACCTTGACTCTTAAATTTATTTTTAAAATTTAAATACTGCTGAAATGTACAAATTATATTATTTACTCCCAGCTCTTTAAACTCTTATTTCGTGTTTTTAAAAGTTGAGTATTTCAATGATCCACTTGCATTTCAGAGCAGATGACAGATCTTTTTCATACCTTATTTCCTGCTCCGCCTACTCGCAACACAGCATCGGGGTTCATAGCAGTAACACAGTCAGTAACCAACTTGTTGCTATGGGATCGAGTAGTTGTGATAATGTGTTTCCCAGCAGGGACTTCTTTCAGCTGAAACCCAAAGGCACCTAAACCTAAAACTCCCCAGATTGTCCTCCCCAACACAGCATCTGGTCCTGCCTGTGTAAACAAGTGAAACAGCAAGACTTGTGATTATTTGGAGAAGAACGTTAGTCCTAATATGGAATATTCAGTTATATTAGCATCATGATTAAAAAAATAAAAACATGATAATATTATAAAGCACAAGAACAATATCACTGATGAAGAACTTTTCCTGAGAGAATCTGCTGATTATTATCATTACTCTTCTGGTTAACAGTTTCAAAGAACTTTTGGTTATTCCCTGGAATCTTTATAAACTGATTTCTGTTTATAATGTACTGAAACATCATAAACTGATTACTGTTTTTCTGAATTATCTAATGATCTCTTTGTTGTATTTGAAAATGACCATTTTTATAAAGTACTAAGATCCCCAGGAAATGAAATACCATGTATTGATAACTACTTTTCATTTTCCAAGAAATATTAAAAATCATGTTGCTACAGGAATAGGTAATTATGACAATGTATTTGGCTGCTATGGAGATAGGGTAACTGAATAGGCCAATACAATATTGAAGAGTAGTTGTGGATAATGGGATCAGAGTTAAGATTTTGCTAACAATTGTAGTAGCAAAATGACAATGATAATGCAATCTTAGAATCTGTATTTTCCTTTGCAGAACTCAATTTCAACCACATTGTTATAACTATATACTCGATATAGAAAAAAATCTGTATTTCATGGAAAGTAAAATTGATACATAAAATGATTGATGCAAAGTCATCAAAATACAATTATATTAATATAGTAGGCATATATTATAGAGATATACATATTGTACTGAACACTAAACATGTACCAGGCACCATTCTAAGTGCTTTACATGTATTATCTCTCTTTCAATCCTCAAAGTAACCCCATGAAGTAGGTATTCTCATCCTTAATTTAAAGATGAGAAAAATGATATGTGGAATCATTAAGTAACCTGACTAGAGGCTCTAAGAAGTTCATAACCAAAGATTGGCTCATCTGTCTTCAAAGATGATATTCTTAAACACTAAATTAGACTGCCTAAGTTTACCTGTCAAAATGTTTTCATACACATCATCTTATTCGTCCTAGAGCAGTACCCTGGGTGTTGTTAATCTGAAATATACTTAGGTTGCAGGTTGGGTTCCCTGGGAAGCAGACTCTGAGGCAGGTGGTATGTTTGTTGGGAAGTGTGCTTGGTATCAACACCTGTGAAAGGAGGAGGAGGGCATGGGCAGAGGGATGAAATAAGCTGTGATGCAGGTACAACAAGAGCTGACCCTACGGGGAGCTGTTCCTATGCAGGGAGTCTGGAGCTACAATAGAGTTTCAGAGTAGTCCCAAATTGGGATGAGATGTCAGGTTTTTAAACTCCTACAATAATCAGTCACTGAAAATGGACTGCATTGGGAAGAGGTGTGGTCCTGGGTGAGATAGCTCTCCATTGGTAGGGCAATCCCACAAGAGTCTGATGGCAAATGGGGCAACAAAGGAGCCAAAGAACAAGCACTGGGTGCTCGGTATATGTTAATGTGCTTCCTCTGTTCCCATCTGAGTTTGCACTACAGGAGAGGTTTGGAGTCTAAGGAAGCTATTTACTTTATTTTTATTTTTATTTTTTTGAGACAGAGTCTCACTGTGTCACCCAGGCTGGAGTTCAGTGGCATGATCTCAGCTCACTGCAAACTCTGCCTCCTGGGTTCAAGCAATTCTCTAGCCTCAGCCTCCTGAGTAGCTGGGATTACAGGTGCGTGCCACCATGTCCAGCTAATTTTTGTATTTTTTTAGTAGAGACGGGGTTTCACCATATTGGTCAGGCTGGTCTCGAACTTCTGACCTCATGATCCACCTGCCTTGGCCTCCCAAAGTGCTGGGATTACAGGCGTGAGCCACCATGCCTGGCCAAGAGACCTATTTATTAATGCAGCTCTCCAGTTATTCTGAAAAAAAAAATAAAGGAAATAAAACAGTGGACACAAATATTTTGGGCCCTACAAGGTCATATTCCTTCTGTAAATGAACATCTAGGCAAAAAGGATGGGATCAAGGACTCTAGTGTTTTGATGTGGTCAACGCAATCCCATGATGCAACCAGCTTACCTTCCTCTGTGCTCCTGACTCTCAGGCTCTCACATTGTCTTTCTCTTTCAAAGGCTCCACACCAATTTTGGGAGGGTAATAAAGGCGAAAATTTTCTGACAATTAAGCTTCAATGGTGAAGAAACTGGCTTTAGTATAAAGATAGACTGAGTTTCTTCATGCTATTTCCTTTAAGTGTCTACCAGTTTCAGTATACGTTGGAAGCAATAATAAAGTTTGAATTTCTAAGTCTTTTCTCTAGCTCAGGAGGGCAATATAAAGTAATACAGTAGCAAGGTTTGGATTTGAGTTTGAATCCCAATTCTGCCATTTACCAACTGGGTGATCACAGGAACGTTAATTGCCTCAGTTTCCTCTTTAAAATGGAGATAACAGTTTCCTTAAAGGCCTGTGGTGAGTATTCAATGAAAGGATATATTTGAAACCCTCGAACCTGGCAGCATACAGTAAACTCTTAATTTTAGCTATTATGGTGATGATGGATTATTATTTAAAATTGAATCTTTAGCCTGAATACTACCAACACAGCTGAGCAACTTTTCTACTTCCATTTGTGGTAACGAATTTTAAGGCATAAGCAAGAGAAGCAAAAGAAAGGATAAACAGAGTGTCCAGAGGGGAAGTGGTACAGAGAGAGGTAATGAAGAGAAGCAGAACAGCAGAAAATGAACTGGTACATGGGATGCACAATGGCCACCTGGGGTACCACAAGTTGCCTACCTCTTTTCTACCTACTAGTGGAGCCAAAACCCTAGCTATTTTTTTCACCTTTGCTTCATTCCTGTGTTCCCTTAACTGCTGCTTTTCCTTGTTCTGTGGAAAATGAATACGATTTTTCTAATCTCAGCAAGAAGTGGTGAAAATTGTTAAATCCTAAGCACTTAGATTTTTTCCTGATGAAAGGTACCATGTATTACAATGCTTTATATGAATTAAATGCCCCTTTTGAAAGTAATAGTATTAACTCAAAGTTTACATACAAACCACAAACTTGTGTCTGCATATAACAGTATGAACATTAAAATCATATTTAAAGAATAGATATAGGCGATTTAACCCGAGAAACTTTCTCCATAACATATCACTATTTTGGTAAATCTTAAGAAACACATGATTCTTAATAAAATTTATAATCATACAAACAGCAGGAAAAAATGAATTTATATTAGAAATAAAGATTAACCTTGCTTTTAACTCAGAGCAGAAATTCAGAAGTAATATTGCCCACTCTGATTACTTTGTTTCTCTAAAGTTCTATCAAGGTCACATTAATATAAATACTTTAACTACTTTATCTCCACGATTTCCTATAAAATTTAATGCAATTTAATGGTACATTCTTGCTTTGAAATTACACTGGTCTCTTGTTTCTATAGAAGACAATTTCTCTGATGTATAATAGAAAATCAAAGCAGATTAGAAGAGACAAGAAAAAAGAGTGCAAGAGCATAGTAAGTTCTGTTACCAACACTGACTGCAATTTAGGCATTACACAGCGTTCCCTGGAAAACAACATGCCTAGCATCTTTTCTTGATTGAAATGGTTCATTTCTTGAATGTGCTTCAGGAACCAATCGTAAATCAGGCGTCTCGATGCCCAAGGTAATCAAGAACCCTATCAGTAATTCTCTGACATTTATATTTGAATCATAAGGCATAAATTTAAAAATATATAATGCATACAGTGTGTCTGTGTACATACACATACATATATATACACACCCAGTACCAATGCCCCCAGCGATTTTGATTCAATAGGTCTGGGGTATGGCCTGGGAATCCATATTCTTAAAAGTTCCTCATCAGTTAATAGCATAGCTAAAAAAAACATTAAATAAATCAATACAATTTTAAAAATGAAAAGTTCTCCAGATGGTTGCATGTGCAACCAAGCTAAAAACCTCTCACTTAGATAACACAAAGAATCATGTAACACTACCATTATTTATCTAATGAAATTACTTTGTATCACTTATAGTAATACCTCATAGTTGTAATATGGCTGGTTAATAACTCCTGCTATGGCTTTTCCTTCATAAGCAATTCCAATAAGAACTGTTACATTGTCAAGAAGACCTGCAAAGAAGAAATAAATATCGGTTATATAACTTGCTCATGTTATGACTCATCATTACTGCATCAATTGCTCCAAGTTAGTTTTGCAGTTAAGGTATGGAATTTGCAATGATTCATCCATGATCAATCCTATTTACAGCAAAATGCATAAATGATAAGCGAGCTGGCCAGAAACAGCAATAGGATCTATGGCCACTTAATTGAATTGGTAATCATGGTCTCATTAGTACAGTGTGTAAACCAACTAAATAAATAAATAAAGCAGCCATAACTCTGCAGCTATCATCATCAGATTCTTCTATGCCTCTTCCACCATCATTCAACTCATCCTTACCTGCCGAATCACTTTATGTTCCTGGATTACATCTAGACTTGTATTTCAAGCCTTTAAAGCAGAGTTTCTCAAAGGGAGGCCCAAGGACTATCAAGCAGCGTTAGAATTAACTGGCATACTTTTTATAACACAGATCTTCTCAGGCTCCTTCCCAGAACTAGTGAATCAAAATCTGGGAGTGGGGAACAAGACTGAAATAAGCTTTCTAGGTGCTTTTATATACATTAAAGTAGTCTAGAGCTTCCTTATTTCACAATGGGTTCTACAGATGTTTTCAGCACACACACAGACATACACATGTACACACACACTGTGATTCACTCATTATAGAGATGACTCATTCAAGAACAATAAGTTTTTTTCTAGTAATTATGATAACTTTTTAAAGCCATGTCCTGAGAGCCAATACAAGAAAACTTAAGTAGATCTTAATTTTATCATCATCATCATCATCATCATTATTATTTTCTTTTTTTGAAACAGAGTCCTTCTCTGTCACCCAGGCTGGAGTGCAGTGGCGAGATCTCAGCTCACTGCAACCTCTGTCTTCCGAGTTCAAGCAATTCTCCTGCCTCAGCCCCAAAAGTAGCTGGGATTACAGATGTGTGCCACCAGGCCCAGCTAATTTTTCTATTTTTAGGACAGAAGGGGTTTCACCATGTTGGCCAGGCTAGTCTCAAACTTCTGACCTAATTATCTGCCCACCTTGGCCTCCCAAAGTGCTGGGATTACAGGCATGAGCCACCGCGCCTGGCCTAGATCTTAATTTTAAAAATAAAACTCTAAGCTTAAAACCCAAAACTTGCCAGGCGCGGTGGCTCACACCTGTAATCCCAGCACTTTGGGAGGCCCAGGCAAGCAGATCACCTGAGGTCGGGAGTTCAAGACCAACCTGACCAATATGGTGAAACCCCATTTCTCCTAAAAATACAAAAATTAGCTGGGCATGGTGGCGGGTGCCTGTAATCACAGCTACTTGGGAGGTGAGGCAGGAGAATCACTTGAACCTGAGAGGCAGAGGTTGCAGTGAGCTGAGATCGTGCCACTGCACTCTAGCCTGGGCAACGAGCAAGACTGTCTAAAAAAAAAAAAAAAAAAAAAAACACCTAAAACTAAAACTCTGGCTCTGAGCCTGTTCATTCCTACATTTATATGGCCAATTTTATTTTAATTTGTTGCTAATTGTTCTCATCTTAGATAAGGAGAAATATTGTACTGTGTTTCAAAACCTACCTTTAGAAGGTGAGGCCGTGAAATGTGAAAGCAGTTCACAGATTAGGGGAGAGTGAATGGGGAGGGCATGGGATGGTGGTGCTGGCAGAGCAAGAGCTACATAGTTGTACTCGTTATCGTTTTTCTACCCCAATAACTGGGGGTTCAGCATAGTCATTTTGGTAACATCGGTTTAATATGTTAGTTATTCTCATCTGGGAGACATTAGAAGTGTGGGGCTGGTAGAGTATGTGAGGGTTGGTATTTGAAGGAGATGAATTTTATTCTCCTGTCTTGACCATCAATGATGTATAAGAACCATGAGCACAAATATAGCTTTAGGGGAAAACATAACACATGATACTAGCTTTCCATACAACATACAAAATATCAAATATTTACAACTAACATCATATCCTTGTCCCACTGCTGTCAAATATGAATACAAAAGAGATATCAACCTTCAGTATATTCCTTGGTTCCATCCAGAGGATCCACCCAGACCACGAGCTAAAATTAAAAAGAGAGAAGGAAAATAGCTAAATCAAGCATACAAAATTCTAAAAATAGATTTAAATAGATTAAAACTACCTTTTCTCCCTGTTTGAAATTATATTATGGATGGCCTGAGTTAATGTCATCTGTTTTGAGATAGTACAAAAACCTTATTCTTTTGTAATCATGGAAAAAGTTCATTTGAATAAGAGAAAAGTCTGATTTAAGAATTTTCAGGCCAGGCACGGTGGCTCACACCTGTAATACCAGTATTTTGGGAGGCCGAGGCGGGTGGACCACCTGAGGTCAGGAGTTCGAGACCAGCCTGGCCAAAGTGGTGAAACCCCACCTCTACTAAAAATACAAAATTAGCTGGGCATGGTGGTGGGGGGCTGTAATCCCAGCTACTCAGTAGGCTGAGGCAGGAGAATCACTTGAACTCAGGAGGTGGAGGTTGCAGTGAGCCGACATCATGCCATTACACTCCAGCCTGGGCAACAAGAGCAAAACTCTGTTTCAAAAAAAAAAAAAAAAAAAGGATTTTCAACATGAAATGCTTAACTGATAAAAGTTTGTTTCATTTGAACACTAAGCACACTCTCTAGATCATGGTACAGAGAAAACTTGTAAAGTGGCATAAAAAATGTTTTGAACATGCATAGTTGCTACTCATTTTTATATGTAAGTGCTGATTTAAAAAAAACAACAGTCTGATTATCTCAAGGACACAGTCCACACAATCCAAAGAAAAATGAATAATAAAACTGGCAGCAGATTTAAAAGGAAAATTCCTTCTGTTTAGGACATTTAATATGATTCAGGATATGCTGCCTTTAACCACTACAATGATAACATTATGTGAATTTCTGAGTGAGGACATGTTTCTGATGGAGGACACCATGTCTCATTTTCTTTGTTTCCTCCATACCACAGAGCAAAGTGTCTTACTCATAGTAAGTCTCCAACGAATATGCATTAAATAATTAAAAATTGGAAAACTAGGCCGGGCGCGGTGGCTCAAGCCTGTAATCCCAGCACTTTGGGAGGCCGAGACGGGCGGATCACGAGGTCAGGAGATCGAGACCATCCTCGCTAACACGGGGAAACCCCGTCTCTACTAAAAAATGCAAAAAAACTAGCCGGGCGGTTTGGCGGGCGCCTGTAGTCCCAGCTACTCGGGAGGCTGAGGTAGGAGAATGGCGTAAACCTGGGAGGTGGAGCTTGCAGTGAGCTGAGATCCGGCCACTGCACCCCAGCCTGGGCGACAGAGCAAGACTCCGTCTCAAAAAAAAAAAAAAAAATTGGAAAACTAAAGACGTTATGGTGGGTATCTGAAGTCACAGATTTAACTGAAACAACTATGAAAAGCAAGCAGGATGATATTTATGGTCTTTTAAAAATAAAAAGGTAGTAATCTGTTACATAGCCTTCTGTCCCCAGTTACCAATGAATGTTTTACTATCAAATCTACTAAATATCTACTAAATACAAATTAGATTTTCTTCCTAAAAGTATTATTTTTTTTTAATGAGACAGGGTCTCACGCTGCTGTCCAGGCTGAGGGTATGTGTAAAACTGTGCAAGGTAGGAACAAAGTAGGACAACTCACACTTCCCAATTGCAAAACTTAATACAAAGCAAGAAAGTGTGCTACTGGCATAAGGATAGACATATAGACCAATGGAATATAACTGAGAGTCCAGAATGAAACCCATACATCTATTTCTTTTCTTTTTTCTTTTTTTTTTTTTTTTGAGACAAAGTTTTGCTCTTGTCGCCCAGGTTGGAGTGCAATGGCACAATCTCGGCTCACTGCAACCTCCGCCTCCCAGGTTCAAGCGATTCTCCTGCCTCAGCCTCCTGAGTAACTGGGATTACAGGCGTGCGCCACCACGCCCAGCTAATTTTGTATTTTTAGTAGAGACGGACTTTCTCCATGTTGGTCAGGCTGGTCTCAAACTCTCGACCTCAGGTAATCCACCTGCCTCAGCCTCCCAAAGCATTGGGATTACAGACGTGAGCCACCGCGACTGGCATGAAACCCATACATCTATGGCCTGCTGATTTTTCACAAGTGTGCCAAGGCCATTCAACTGGGAAAAAAATCATCTCTTTAAGAGATGGTGCTGGGGCCAGGCGAGGTGGCTCAAGCCTGTAATCCTAGCACTTTGGGAGGCCAAGGTGGGTGGATCACGAGGTCAAGAGATAGAGACTATCCTGGCCAACATGGTGAAACCCCATCTCTACTAAAAATACAAAAACAATTAGCTGGGTGTGGTAGTGTGAGCCTGTAGTCCCAGCTACTTGGGAGGCTGAGGCAGGAGAATCGCTTGAACCCAGGAGGTGGAGGTTGCAGTGAGCCAAGATTGCAGCCCTGCACTCCAGCCTGGCGACAGAGAGAGACATCATTTCAAAAAAAAAAAAAAAAAAGAGATGGTGCTGGTTGTAGCCTTAACCTCCATGGGCTCAGGTGATCCTCCCACCTCAACCTCCCAAATAGCTGAGACTACAAGTGTGTGGCACCATACCTAGCTAATTTTTGTATTTTTTGTAGAGACAGAGTTTCACTATGTTGCCCAGTCTCGTCTCGAACTCCTAGACTCAAGCAATCCAACCACCTCGGCCTCCCAAAGTGCTGGGATTACAGGTGTGAGCCACCATGCCTGGCCCTAAAAGTATTTTAAATAACGGTTTTAGAGTGGAAAGGAAACCCATAGGATGAGAAACTGAACTCTAAATCCATGTGGTTGCCTGATACTTCCATGTTGGCTCTGAAATATATCAAATTTCTGGTTGCCCCTATTTTATAACTACCAATTTTTCATCTTACAGGCAAATTGTATTTCCTTTACTATGGCAAAAAGACCAGGTTAATAGAGAGTTGAGTATAAATAGGGATCATACATCTTCTTCTTTAATAGAACTGTACTGCGATGGGCATGGTTGCTTCAGTATTTCCTCCCACTGACTGTCTTCGATCAGCTCTTGATCCACTTCCTCAGAAGGCAGATCCTAAAGCAGAGATAACCCTAATGGTTATTGAAGCCATTTAGCGTTTACAGAGTATGCTTTATCTCATTAACAGAAGAAATGCAGCATCACAGTTTTCGCTAGTTCTTCTGGTTTACCATTTATATTTAGAACTTTTAAAGCAAACCTTAAAAATTTGCAAAAACAACCATATGTGGCTCATCAAAATTGACTAAATGGTTGCAATGTCATTATCTTGAACAGAGTTTAAAAATAAAAGATTCTTTAAGTATTATACACTCATTTAAACAAGTGTCTCTGACAGCAGATAGTTCCCCTATATTACATTAGATGTCAAGTTCCTCACTTTCTTTTTTCTTTTTGAGACGGAGTCTTGCTCTATTGCCCAGGCTAGAGTGCAGGGGCACCATCTCGGCTCACTGCAACCTCCCCTTCCTGGGGTCAAGCAGTTCTCCTTCCTCAGCCTCCTGAGTAGCTGAGATTACAGGGGTTCACCACCACGCCTGGCTAATTTTTGTATTTTTAGTAGAGACGGGATTCAGTTTCACCATGTTGGTCAGGCTGGTCTTGAACTCCTGACCTCGTGATCTGCCCGCCTTGGCCTCCCAAAGTGCTGGGATTACAGGTGTGAGCCGCCGCGCCCGGCCTACTTCCCTCACTTTCAAAGTGTTATAGTCTTTGGATAAGTACGCAAATAAGCCTAAGTTTAAAAACAAACAACAACAAAACCCATTTTATTCCAAAGTTCTAGATCTCTGCCCATCTTACAGTTTGTATGCTGGGTATAACAGTAACCATATCTTTTATGGTCAATAATTAAGACATCTGGCATAGAAATAGACCAAAATGTCTTAAAATCAGATATTTCCCCCAAGTCCAAGGAATACAATAATTATTTTTGTGTTTAAAACAATATATATAATGCTTGAAATTATAAGAGTGGTACATAAATCATTAAAGCATCAGTTATAAGTACACTTGGTAAACAAGGATTTTAAAAAAATGTCTCTGACGACTCTTACCTCTTCCCCTATAATCGTGAGTTTGGGGAATTTCCGGGCCAATGAAGAACATATGCTCATCTGTGCCAATCGGTCAGCTTTGGTCTGCAGGTCTGTGGCACAGGTCTATAACAAAGAATGCAAAGTTTAGCAGAGCTAACGAGAAATAAGTTGTCCTCTGATTCCCTGTGCATGAGTGCCTACATAATTTAGATTACACTGTCAGTTTTTAGAGTCATAGAACTTAACACCAAATGAGTTAACTAGTTTCCTGCCTTGGTTTTTCTCAAAGGATTAATAGTGGTTAAAGTTTGGAAAGGAGCTTTTAAATAATCTAGAACATTTTCTTCTCTAGTTTAGAAATTCCTTATCTCTAGACATCAACCTTTTGCTTAAATAGGTTCAGAGATAGGAAATGTATCACTTTTCAAGGCAAAGGTAATAGTTATTAGAAAAAGTGTTCCTTGGATCCTTCTATAACTTCCACACTAATCCTAATCATAATAATTCAATAGGTCCTCAAGTTGATTCACAGGTATAGAGTAAGAAATCCTATTTGTTTTTGTTTTGTTTTGTTTTTGAGGCGGAGTCTTGCTCTGTCGCTGGCTGGAGTACAGTGGCGCGATCTTGGCTCACTGCAATCTCTGTCTCCTAGGTTCAAGCAATTCCCCTACCTCCCGAGCAGCTGGGACTGTAGGCTCCTGCCACCATGCCCGGCTAATTTTTTGTATCTTAGTAGAGACGGGGTTTCATCAAGTTGGCCAGGATGGTCTTGATCTCCTGACCTTATGATCTGCCTGCCTTGACCTCCCAAAATGCTGAGATTACAGGCATGAGTCACTGCACCCAGCCTAAGAAATTCTGTTTCTGAAAATCTGAAAAACACTAATATGAACTGCTGTAATATTTAACATATAGCTCACCTGTGGTACCCTCACTCAATCACTATGTCAGATAATCATGCTAGTGAAAGAGAAAAGTTTTGCAAGTGACAACCACAACCTCCTTTGTTAGTTTGCTTTCAGAGAATTATGATATGTTGCAATTGATATATGCCTGGTTAAGTAGATTTACAGATTATATCATCTTAGTAGAATTTGTTTGTTTGTTTTGAGATGGAGTCTCTCGCCCAGACTGGAGTGCAGTGGCGTGATCTTGGCTCACTGCAAACTTTGTCCCTTGGCTTCAAGCAATTCTCCTGTCTCAGCCTCCCGAGTAGCTGGGACTACAGGTGCCACCCACCACGGCTGGCTAATTTTTGTATTTTTAGTAGAGACAGGGTTTCACCATATTGGCCAGGCTGGTCTCAAACTTCTGACCTTGTGATCCACCCACCTCGGCCTCCCAAAGTGCTGGGATTACAGGCGTGAGACACTGCACCCTGCCTCATCTTAGTATAATTTTAACAATACTTTGCAACGAGATAAAGAGTCATCATGAAAAGCAAACTGCTTTATGCCTCACTGAGATTTGCTATATATCTCAATGCAAAGTACTATTCTGCTAGAATGTAAGCTCCACAAAAGGATTTTATTCCTTAAAGAATTGTGTCTAGCATATAGTAGGTGCTCTATAAGTATCTTTTGAATGAACCTACTCAAAAGAATTGTTCAGTTTGAAGATTAGTTATATATCAATCAAGTTTGTACACCACTGCTTTAGAGGAAAAAAATATATATTGAAAGTCATTCCTCTATCTGAGGAAAGCAATTCTCTTTCCCTCTCTAAGATAAATATTTCCTACTCTATCAACATAGCTCTGGACCTCTAAAGTACTAGAAATGCCTGAGCAGTACAGAAGACAATGAGAATATTACTTTTTTTCCTGACTTGGCACTACATCTCTGTTCCTTTTTAGCTACCTGGGTTTCAAAGTTGTTTGTCTAATATAATCTCAACATAAGATCAACTGAAAATAAGTGATGTTAAGGAAAAGGATCTGAAAGGAAATAATTCAAAATATTGGCAATGGTGGGATGATGGATGATTTTTGTTTACTTTTTGGCATTTTTCTCCATTTCCTACTTTTCGTAATAGAAAAAACTTTGTAAAAAATGAGATTAGGGGCCAGACGCAGTGGTTCACGCCTATAATCGCAGCACTTTGAGAGGCCGAGGCAGGCGGATCACGAGGTCAGAAGTTCGAGACCAGCCTGACCAACATGGAGAAATCCTGCCTCTACTAAAAATACAAAATTAACTGGGTGTGGTGGCGCATGCCTGTAAAATCTCAGCTATCCAGGAGGCTGACGCAGGAGAATCGCTTGAACCTGGAAGGCAGAGGTTGCGGTGAGCTGAGATCATGCCATTGCACTCCAGCCTGGGCAACAAGAGTGAAACTCCGTCTCAAAAATAAATAAATAATAATAATAATAATAATAATAAGATTAGCAGCCCCCTGAAAGCAGCAGTATCATTTTGTTCATTATTACCAAGCATGTCTGTGGTCAACTAAAGTCTCTTTTTCAAACAAATTTGAATCAGATTTATCTGACATAACTTGAACATGAATACAGCACTTTATATTATGCCTGTTACAATATCCTGTTGGATTTGGTCCACTTTTCTCAGAGGTTGCAACTATTTTGAATGCTTATTCTGTGATCAAATGTATTAACTAGACTGCTCAGCTTTACCTTATTGGCAAATTTTATAAGTATGTTTTCTATATCATCTTCTTCCACTTCAGATAACACATTAGGTATTTTTTTAAAACTGTATGTTATTTAATAATTAAAGAGAACAGTACAATGTCAGGAGCAGAGTCCTGTGATCAGCCAGCGGTGATCCTTTTCTAGGATGAAAATGACTCATTAATTTAAATTTGTGGATAATGTTATTCATCCAGTTATGAATACACCTAACCATGGCTCAGGATGGGAGATGTCATCTATATAACTAAAAATAGCTTGAATATTTTCTTAAATAGAAAATGACAGACTATAACAAATGTTTTGCTTAAATCAAGATACCCACTATCTATTTCCTCTATAAATCTATCAAAAAAACAAATGAGATTTATTTCATTTGTTCTTATGAGTTTTTGTTTTTGTTTGTTTTTAATATTATTTATTTATTTATTTATTTTAGAGACAGGGTTTTACTCTGTTGCCCAGGCTGGAGTACAGTTGTGGGATCACAGATCACTGCAGCCTCAATCTCCTGAGCTCAAGCAATAATCCCATTTCAGCTTCCCAAGTAGCTAGGACTATAAGCATGTCCCACCATGCCAGACGGGGTCTTGCTATGTTGCCCATGCTGATTTTTATGTTTATTTTTTAAAAGCAATTACGTTGAATGTTTTATAATGAACTCATGTCAACGTTTTTCTAAGTTGTTTTTTATTCATATATCTCACTTTTTCTTATGGTAACAGCGCTAGATAGATGTATCACTTATAAGTGAGTGACTTAACTCAATCTATTTTATTATTTTTTATTTATTTTTCCATTTCATCTTTTTTTCTTTTTTTTTATTATTATACTTTATGTTCTAGGGTACATGTGCACAATGTGCAGGTTTGTTACATATGTATACATGTGCCATGTTGGTGTGCTGCACTCATTAACTCGTCATTTACATTAGGTATATCTCCTAATGCTATCCCTCCCCCCTCCTCCCACCCCACAACAGTTCCCCTTCCTGTGTCCAAGTGACCTCATTGTTCAATTCCCACCTATGAGTGAGAACATGTGGTGTTTGGTTTTCTGTTCTTGCGAGTTTGCTAATAGTTTCCAGCTGCATCCATGTCCCTACAAAGGACACGAACTCATCCTTTTTTATGGCTGCATAGTATTCCACAGTGTATATGTGCCATATTTTCTTAATCCAGTCTGTCATTGATGGACATTTGGGTTGGTTTCAAGTCTTTGCTATTGTGAACAGTGCCGCAATAAACATACGTGTGCATGTGTCTTTATAGCAGCATGATTTATAATCCTTTGGGTATATACCCAGTAATGGGATGGCTGGGTCAAATGGTATTTCTAGTTCTAGATTCTTGAGGAATCGTCACACTGTCTTCTACAATGGTTGAAATAGTTTACAGTCCCACCAACAGTGTAAAAGTGTTCCTATTTCTCCACATCCTCTCCAGCACCTGTTGTGTACTGACTTTTTAATGATTGCCATTCTAACTGATGTGAGATGGTATCTCACTGTGGTTTTGATTTGCATTTCTCTAATGGCTAGTGATGATGAGCATTTTTTCATGTGTCTGTTGGCTGCATAAATGTCTTCTTTTGAGAAGTGTCTGTTAGTATCCTTTGCCCACTTTTTGATGGGGGTTCATATGGAACCAAAAAAGAGCCCACATTGCCAAGACAATCCTAAGTCAAAAGAACAAAGCTGGAGGCATCACACTCTCTGACTTCAAACTATACTACAAGGCTACAGTAACCAAAACAGCATGGTACTGGTACCAAAACAGAGATATAGACCAACGGAACAGAACAGACCCCTCAGAAATAATGCCACACATCTACAACCATCTGATGTTTGACAAACCTGACAAAAACAAGAAATGGGGAAAGGATTCCCTATTTAATAAATGGTGCTGGGAAAACTGGCTAGCCATAAGTAGAAAGCTGAAACTGGATCCCTGCCTTACTCCGTATACAAAAATCAATTCAAGATGGATTAGAGACTTAAATGTTAGACCTAAAACTCACTCTATATTAAATCGCTAAAGTGCTAATGAGAAATCATATCCTATTAATGTTCTCACTTGGAAGAAATTACAATACAATTTTCCTCAAAGACTATAATAAAGAAAGATTTAGGCGAAGTGTAGTGGCTCATACCTGTACCCACACCCATAATCTCAGCACCTTAGGAGTCTGAGGTGGGTGGATCACTTGAAGCCAAGAGTTTGAGACCAGCCTGGGCAATATACTGAAACTCCATCTCCACAAAATAAAAACATTAGCTGGGTGTCGTGGCGCTTGCCTGTAGTCCTAGCTACTCAGGAGGCTAAGCCAAGAGGGTCCTTTGAGCCCAGAACTTGAGGCTGCAACAAGCTATCAGTAGGACTATGCCACTCTACTCTAGCCTTGGGCGACAAAGTGAGACATTGTCTCTTAAAAAAAAAAAAAAGATTATAATAAAGAATTTAAGGATTAAAAGTCAATATATGAAAACTTATGTGTGAAATTTGTAATGTGAGGTAATAACCAAGTTTCAAGGAAGATTTCTGTGTATATATATGTGTGTGTGTGTGTGTGTGTGTGTGTGTGTATATGTATATATGTATACATATATGTACCAAATCCCAAGGAAGATTTGTGTATATGTATATAATATATACATGTGTGTATATATTATATATATATAATATATACATATATACACGTGTGTATATATACGTGTGTATATATGTATATATTATATATATACACACGTGTATATATGTGTATATATATACATGTGTGTATATATACGTGTGTATATATGTATATATTATATATACACATATATACACGTGTGTATATATTATATACATATACACAAATCTACGTGTGTGTATATATACGTATATATATACATGTGTGTGTATATATATACATGTGTGTATATATATATACACACACAATCTTCCTTGGGATTTGGTACATATATACATATATATACACACACATATATATGCCTGTACTCACACCCTTGTGTGTATATATATGGAAAGATTTATATATATAATATACACACACACTATATATATACACACAAATCTTCCGTGTATATATACATACACTATATATACATACTATATATACACACACACAAATCTTCCCTATATATACACATACACAAGAGTGTGAGTACAGGTGTGTGTATATATATACATGTATATATATGTAGCAAATCCCAAGGAAGATATACAAACTTGTATATATATACACAAACTTGTATGTGTATATATATACAAACTTGTATATATATATTTGTCAATATATGAAATATATATACACATATATACACAGACATATATATACACATACATATATATATACACACACACAAATCTTCCTTGGGATTTGGTTATTACCTCACATTACAAATTTTACACATAAGGCTTCATATATTGACTTTTAATAGATTTCATTAAGATTTCATTGTATTTTAAACTGGAACACAAGTATGGTGGTATTTCTTTTAAGAATTGACTATCACTATAAACTTTCTGATAATGTATTTCATATATTGACTTTTAATCCTTAAATTCTTTATTATATGTATGTATATATGTATACATATATACACACATATTTTTCGAGATGGAGTCTCGCTTTTGTTGCCCAGGCTGGAGTGCAATAGTGCGATCTCGGCTCACTGCAACCTCTGCCTCCCGGGTTCAAGTAATTCTCCTGCCTCAGTCTCCTGAGTAGCTGTGATTATAGGTATGCACCACCATGCCCGACTAATCTTTGTATTTTTAGTAGAGATGGGGTTTCATCATGTTGGTCAGGCTGGTCTCAAACTCCTGACTTCGTGATCCACCTGCCTCGGCCTCCCAAAGTGCTGGGATTACAGGCGTGAGCCACCATGCCCAGCCAGAAGATTGTATTTTAAACTGGAACACAAGTATGGTGGTATTTCTTTTAAGAATTAACTATGACTATAAACTTTCTGATAATCTATTTAAGTTTGTAATTACTATACTGGGAAAAACACCCTTGTTTTGAGTTTCTTTTCCATGAGGAAGAAAAATATGTATCACTTTGATTATAACAAATAGTTATGTAAATGCCAGATTTTACCGAACATGTTGACTAAGGATTACATGGCGTTGCATGTAATAGATTACTCTAGTATTTGAAGCCTGGTTACAATGCCTTGGGGATGGATATGGTTCAGAAGACTCAGACATATAAACAAAGATCTTGGATATAGAAAGTCTGGAGTCTTTTTTTTTTTTTTGAGGTGGAGTCTCGCTCTGTTGCCCAGGCTGGAGTGCAATGGCACGATCTCGGCTCACTGCAACCTCTGCCTCCCGGGTTCAAGCGATTCTCCTGCCTCAGCCTCCCAAGTAGCTGGGATTACAGGCGCTCACAACCACATCTGGCTAATTTTTTGTATCTTTACTAGAGATGGGATTTCACCATTTTAGCCAGGCTGGTCTCAAACTCCTGATCTCGTCATCCGCCTTCCTCGGTCTCCCAAAGTACTGGGATTACAGGCGTGAGCCACCATACCCGGCTTTGGAGTCATTTTCAAAGCAGAGATCGAACCCTTTTGAACAAGGGTCTTGTAGTCTCCCTAAGGGAGCCATCAATTATTTTAACTGATAAAGTCTGTCCACATTTTTACATCATTTAGCTCAACCTCAAGAACAAAAATAAAGTTGGTATGAAATGATATGAGAGTTTGAGTACCTTCTCCACGATACCCAGGTCTCCTTCAGCAATAACACGTCTGACTATCATTCCTGCCTTTTGAGCAATAGAATATGCTGAGGCTACCAACCGCATCAACACAGTGTTACTGGAAGCCATAATAAACTCTAAAAAGAGATCAAGAAAAATGTTTTGTTAGTTTCAAAGTCAACTACTGGTTTTATTTACTTAAATCCAACTCAGCACATATTAATTGAGCGCTAACTTGGGATTGCTCCCATTAACTGAGTAAATTCTTTAACATATATTTACTAAAAGAGAGTTGGAAAAAACTCCATTTGGGCATTAACTCTCTCAATAAGTTCTGTATTTTTTATGTTTGTCTGCAGATGAGGCATGTCAAAGCATAGGAGAAACTGGCCCAGGATGCTGAGCATGTGAAAAAGTTTGTGTATGAGGTGGTGGGTAATGTGCAAAGTATGTGGAAGGTGCTTTGGAGGCTAAAAATATGAGATGTAAGATTTTTGTTTGAGGAGCTAATATTTTGGTGAGCTGTAGATAAAACAATGTAACCTAATGTCTATAACATAAAACTAGGAAGTGCCAAAAGAGGTATGAATAGTATAAGGGATGTAGGTGTGTAGGGCGTAATTAAAAAGGGAGGGTGTATTAGTCTGTTTTCGTACGGCTATAAAGAATGACCCAAGACTGGGTAGTTTATTACTTCCAATGCCAAGAACCACAATTACTTTTGCACCAACCTAATATAAAGGAAAGAGGTTGAATTGACTCACAGTTCAGCATGACTGGGAAGGCCTAAGGAAACTGACAATCCTGGCAGAAGACAAAGGGGAAGCAAGACACCTTCTTCACAAGGTGGCAGGAAGAAGTGCCAAGCAAAGGGGGAAGAGACCCTTAAAAACCATTAGATCTCATGAGAACTCACTCACTATCACGAGAACAGCATAGGGGGAAACTGCCCCCATGATTCGATTACCTCCACCTGGTCTCTCCCTTGACAGTGGGGATTATGGGGATTACAATTTAAGATGAGATTTGGGTGGGGAAACAAAGCCTCACCACATCAGAGGGATTGCATATAACTACAATTATTTTCTGAAAATCAATGAATATTCTCCGCTATTATTTACCTCCATCTTTGTCAGTAGCCAAATAAAGAGAACAAGCAACATAACAAATTATAATGAAGACCAATCACCTGGAAAAGTAAGGCGTGTCAGAGAAGTCTCTAGCTCCAATAAAATAAATAGAAAAAACAGGCTTTAGAATTAAGTACATTGCTTTTTTTTTTTTTTTTTTTGAGACGGAGTCTCGATCTGTTGCCCAGGCTGGATTGCAGTGGCGCCATCTCGGCTCACTGCAACCTCTGCCTCCCGGGTTCAAGCAGTTTTCTGCCTCAGCCTCCCAAGTAGCTGGGATTACAGGTGGCCTCCACCACACTTGGCTAATTTTTGTATTTTTAGTGGACACAGGGTTGCATCATCTTGGCCAGGCTGGTCTTGAACTCCTGACCTCGTGATCCACCTGCCTCGGCCTCTCAAGTGCTTAGATTACAGGCATGAGCCACTGTGCCCGGCCTGTACATTCCTTTGAAAATATGAATTCTGGCCAGGCACGGTGGCTCACACCTGTAATCCCAGCATTTTGGGAGGCCAAGGTGGGCAGATCACCTGAAGTCAGGAGTTCGAAATCAGCCTGACCAACATGGTGAAACCTCATCTCTACTAAAAACACAAAAATTAGCCGGGCATGGTGGCACACACCTGTAATCCCAGCTACTCAGGAGGCTGAGGCAGGAGAATCGCTTGAACCTGGGAGGCGGAGATTGCAGTGAGCCGAGATCGCACCATTGCACCCTACCTAGCCTGGGTAACAGAGCGAGATTCCATCTCAAAAAAAAAAAAAAAAAAGAAAGAAAATATGAATTCAAATCCTGAAATTTTAGTGACTGTTCTGGATGTACCACCCACATTCCCTTCAGGATTGAAGAGCTTATTTCCCCACTCGCTGAGACAGCTCTCAACAGAAGGCCCTTAGTTGCCATCTTTCTCTGGGAGTATATCTGCTGAGAAGGATCACTTCATCTGAAATGTCACAATAGGGAGACTTAAAGGCCATTTCCTACCCCAAGTGGGCTGCCACCCCAGCACTGAAGGGCCATCCAGCTTCCAGAATACCCTATGGGGTCGACTGAGGCCTTAGCTGAGACTGCATCACAGCCCAAGATGCCTTCTCCTATATTCTTCCCTTCCTCCCCTTCCCTCCCACAAATGATCCCAAAAGCACTCCCTAATAAACCTCTTCCACTTTATCTCTTACAGTTTTATGGGGAATCAACCTATGACAAAAACTTCCCATCTCTAAATCAAATCAACATTATTTCATCGCAATAAGGGAACACATGATTGTTCCCTAGACAAAAGGACTATTTTATATATATATATGGTGTGTCTCTCTCTATATATATATGTTTTTTTTTTTAATTTTTTTTTTTTTTGATATGGAGTCTCACTCTGTCGCCCAGGCTGGAGTATAGTGGTGCAATCTCAGCTCACTGCAAACTGCCTCCTGGGTTCAAGCGATTCTCCTGCCTCAGCCTCCTGAGTAGCTGGGATTATAGGCGCCTGCTACCATGCTTGGCTAATTTTTGCATTTTTAGTAAAGACAGGGTTTCACCATGTTGGCCAGGCTGGTTTCGAACTCTTGAGCTCAAGTGTTCTGCCCACCTTGGCCTCCCAAAGTGCTGGGATTACATGCCTGAGCCACCACGCTTAGCCCTGCGACTATAAAGGACATTATAAATCTCCATTCAGCAATAGTCATTATTCTACCACAAATTTCTGACTGAATATTTGATTTGACGTGCGTTATAACCCCTTTAACATTTTTTTTCTTTTTTCTTTTTTTTTCTGAGATGTAGTCTCACTCCATCACCCAGGCTGGAGTGCAGTGGCGCAATCTTGGCCCACTGCAATCTCTGCCTCCCGGGCTCAAGTGATTCTCACGCCTCAGCCTTCCGAGTAGCTGAGATCACAGGCAGCTGACACCATGCCCGGCTAATTTTTGTATTGTTAGTAGAGACGGGGATTCACCATGTTGGCCAGGCTGGTCTTGAACTCCTGACCTCAGGAGATCCACCTGCCTTAGCCTCCCAAAATCCTGGGATTACAGGTGTAAGGCACTGTACCCAGCCTTCTTTACATCTTGTTTCTATCATCCACATTCTATTGACAGGAATTATGAACCTAACTGAAACAATAAGTGAAGTGTTTGAAACTCTTCAGAAGGAAGATGGAATTGAAATTTATGGCCGGGCACGGTGGCTCACGCCTGTAATCCCAGCACTTTGGGAGGCCGAGGCGGGTGGATCACGAGGTCAGGAGTTCGAGACCAGCCTGACCGACATGGCGAAACCCTGTGTCTACTAAAAATACAAAAATTAGCCGGGCGTAGTGGCACACACCTGTAATCCCAGATACTCAGGAGGCTGAGGCAGGAGAATCATATGAACCCAGAAGGTGGAGCTTGCAGTGAGCCAAGACTGTGCCAGTGCACTCCAGCCTGAGCGACAGAGCAAGACTCCATCTCAAAAAAAAAAAAAGAAATTTATGTAAGGTAATGAATACCATACTGTGACCAATAGCTATCTGGAAATTAAGATGAAAATGAAAAGGGTTTCATTTTTGAAACGGAGTCTCGCTCTGTTGCCCAGGCTGGAGTGCAGTGGCACAATCTCAGCTCACTGCAAACTCCGCCTCCCAGGTTCACACCATTCTCCTGCCTCAACCTCCTGAGTAGCCGGGACTTCAGGCGCCCGCGACCGTGCCCGGGTAATTTTTTGTATTTTTAGTAGAGACGGGGTTTCACCACGTTAGCCAGGATGGTCTTGATCTCCTGACCTTGTCATCCACCTGCCTCAGCCTCCCAAAGTGCTGGGATTACAGGCGTGAGTGAGCCACCACGCTCAGCCAATATAATGAGTTTCTAACTGCAGCTGACACTTGAACAACATGGGCTCGAACTGAACCGGTTCACTTTGTGGATTTTTTCCAACCAAATGTGGACAGAAAAGGTATGTAAAACCTGTAGACAGGAAAGGCTGACTTTTTAAAATATATTTTTATTTTATTTTCAAGAGAGTCTATGATCTGTTAAAACTGAGTTTTCATCTATGAGTGTTTTGGAGGGTCAACTGTGGGACTTGAGTATGTGCAGATTTCAATACTCTCAGGGGTTCTCAGTTGATTCTCAGGGAATCAACCTCCCTCACATACTGAGGGATGACTCTATATAAAGTGTTTGTTTTATGATACCATAATCAGGCTAGATTAATTTTCTTGGCATACTAGGAGTTACATGTGGAATAAACCAGTTACAATTACTACTAATTCAGGAGCACTTCAGATAGAAAACAGAGAAATGGGGCTGGGTGCAGTGGCTCACACCTGTAATCCCAGCACTTTGGGAGGCCGGCAGATCACGAGGTCAAGAGATTGAGACCATCAAGGCTAACACAGTGAAACCCGGTCTCTACTAAAAATACAAAAAATTAGCTGGGCATAGTGGTGGGCACCTGTAGTCCCAGCTACTCCAGAGCCTGAGGCAGGAGAATGGCGTGAATCTGGGAGGTGGAGGTTGCAGTGAGCCGAGATCGCGCCACTGCACTCCAGCCTGGGCGACAGAGAGAGACTTTGTCTCAGAAAAAAAAAAAAAGAAAAAGAAAAGAAAACAGAAATAATTTAGTAAATACTTTGTCACTCTTATTTCTATTCCTTTATATCCATATCCAGGCATATATCTGATTTATTCTGCACCGGAAATGTGGTCTTTGTGCAACTGTTTTGTTCTACCCAGATGTCTTGACCATATTTTAATTATGTGTTCATATGCTCCTTCAATTCTCATGTTATGTAAGAATTCTTTTGTAATAGGATGATCACCTTCCCTCACTGTATGGTGTTGTTATAACTTTTCATAGATCTCATTTACCTTTGAACCAGTTAAGCAACCATTTGAGCCTTATCAGGCTCCATAAATGACTCAACTACTTACCCTTGTATTTGCCAAGTCCATGGTGTTTTCTTCCAAGGAAAAACTTTCAGGCATTGTCTGTCTACTAATTTCATCACAAAAGGATATTATATATAATAACCACCAATTAAAGCTAACATCAGCTTATAAAATATAAGAATGGGAAAAATAATAGAAGAAAATAAAAATGGGAAAAATAATGTTGATGTAAAGCACACAATGATTTATAAAGAGATTCCACAAATCGCTTTTAATTGGCAAATAGGAAAATATTTTACCATTCTTCTTTGAAGTACTTCTCTGGTCCAAACTGAATTAGTAATGAAATAGTACTATGCCCTAGCCTTAATCGTTTTCTTACATATTTTTTAAACAGATGAATACAATTTTGGTTCTTGGTTAAAAAAAAAAAGAAAAAATAAATAGTCAAATTATCAAAGCACAAAATCTATACAAGAGGTCCCTTTTAGCCTTTTTAATTATGCCCCCTCCTATACTATAATAAGATTTACCTTTTGATGATACAGGTAGATCAAGAGCAAGGCCTAAACTAGCTACAGGCAAGTTAACTTTCTTAAAGCAGTTCAAATAACACCATTGTACTTCTTTCTCTACCAGTTTTACATCTTTGGGCCTTAAAACACTCTTGTGAAGGTGTCTTTCCGAAAGCCTAATCTAAAACAGGATAGCGGTTAAGGGCACAGGCTCTGGAGCCAATTACCTGTGTTCAAATCCTGGCTCAGCTGTGGACTTTGAGAAAACCACTTAAATTTTCTGTACCTCAATCTGTAAAATGGAGACAATAGTACTTATAGGGCTGTTGTACTTATTAAATTAGTAACACATGTAAAGAAAACACTTGTCCCTGGCACAAGGTAAACACCAAATATACTGGCTAACCATTATTATGATTGTCCTTATTTTGGTTATTTTGCAGGGAGGGACATTAGGGCAGTGTTAAGGGCAAAGAGTTTATGTGGTTTCTCCAACAGTATTCTGACCTTGAGAATACAAAATGATAATCAACATGACCCTCAGAGTGTAGTACAGGCTTTTCTTCATAACATTCTGGGCCTGAGGCTTGGAGTAGACAAGAAAAAAAGCTGTATAGCACTTAAGGCCATCGACCTAACACCTATCCATTTGAGAAATCTTTACAACTGCCAAAGAGCTAGTTCAGAAGGATGGAAAAACAACAGGAATCAAACATTAGTTTCTTCTCATATAAAGATTGTGACCATATGAGGATTAGGATCTAAAAATGATGAGTTCCAGATCAAAATACTAAAATTATTTATACTTTGGAACTTGGCCTGATGATAATGTTCAAGGTCATCTGAAAAAATAAAAATGTAAGCATAATGGAGCAAATTCTGGAAGAAGAACAAAGAACAGAGGTACTCCCCTTATCAATTATCAAAATATGATAAAGTATGATTTAATCAAAATATGATATAAAAGTTTGGCTAGTGAGACAAATTAAGGAAATAAATTGCAGAAATAGAACCGAACACACTAAAGGTAGTGTTTCAAATCATGGGGGAAATTTAATTTTGCATAAATGGCAGGGCAGTTGCTAAACTTTTAAATACTTTTTTTTTTTTTTTTTTTTTTTAATATATAGTCTTGCTCTGTAGCCCAGGCTGGAGTGCAGTGGCTGATCTCGGCTCACTTTCACCCTCTAGAGTTCAAGTGATTCTCCTGCCTCATACACCTGAGAGCTGGCACTACAGGCACGCATCACCACGCCTAATTTTTTCAGTCAGGCCTATAGTCCCAGCTACTCGGGAGGCTGAGGTGGGTGAATCACCAGACCCTGGGAGGTCGAGGTTGCAGTGAGACATAATGGCACCACTTTACTCCAGCCTGGGCTACAGAGCAAGACCCTGTCTGGAAAAAAAAAAAAAAAAAAAAAAAAGGAAAGGAGAAGAAGAAGAAAGAAGAAGGAGGAAGAAGGAAGAAGGAGGAAGAAGAAGGGGGAAGAAGAAACAGGGAAGAAGCAGCAGCAGAAGCAGAGAAAAAGAAAGAAAAGAAAAAAAAGAAAAGAAAAGAAAGAAAGAAAAAGAAAGAAAGAAAGAAAAAAAGAAAGAAAGAAAGAAAGTAAGTTTGTCCTTTGTCCAGTTTGCAAGGGTGTGAAGGAACATGTACCTGAGCATTGTCGGTAAAGTAGTGAACCCTCTTAGGAGAGCTTTGAGAACCTTAATAAAGTATAACATACATATCTTTTGAACCAGCAATTATATTTCCAGAGAAATCCAAATAAATCACGCAAACCTACAAATATGTAGAAATGGCAGTTGGACGAATATTTGCTATTTAAATAAATTTACTTTTAGGTGCCAAGCAGTTTCTAAATTTGGGTGCATCAACGAACTCAATATCTAGGTTTGTCTTGTTATTTCTACAATATATGGCTATAAAAACCTTCCAGATCACGAAGATAAAAGCACAGATAAACAATTAAAATATTGACACTCTAGAGTCCAAGTCCGAAATCAGAATATCTGGAGAAGCAATCTGATTCACATAAACCTTTTTTATTTTATTTTATTTAACATAAATCCTATCTACCTGGCTCTTGCCCAGACCGGCAGGAGAGAAACTTACGGCGACAAACCTGGAACAACGTTGGACCAAACACACTTCAGGGGCAGCAAAAGCGCGTTATCGTAAACCCAGGTCCCTCGTCGTGTCCAGTACCGAGCTTTGGCACTGTCAATAAATCTTTCGAGATGGATGGCAGCCCTACCTCAGCTAGTGAGCATGCGGGAAACTCCGCGCAAGCGCACAACAGCGATTTAACACTGCGTCTTTAGACTCCTGATCCGCGGGAAAATACCACTTGTCCGTGTTTTCTCCAAGCTCTCCGTAGGTGCAAGTCACCTATTGTATTAAATAAAAGGGAAAGGTGTTCCAACTTTCAAAGATTGGCTCAAAAAAAAAAAAAAAGAAAGAAAGAAAAGAAAACAAGAAGAAGGAAATAAAACATTAAGGCAGCAACAGTGTGTTGAAAAAAAAAAATTGGTTCTGATTTCACCTGTCTTCCAGCCCACTTTGTAGAGTTCACTGTTTTAAAATGTTCATTGGATTAGTGATATCGCTCTGCGGCTATTTAACTTAGAACCCCTAGCGGTCCGTGAACAGGCTTCAGCAGGTCCACCACACACACCTCCACCTCTCACGCCCCACACAACAACAAAGCAACTTTATCAGAATTGTGTTAAAGATGCTTGCATATGTATGTGTGTGTGTATGTATATATACACACATATATTTTTATATATATAAATATATATACATTTTATATATATATGTGTGTGTATATATTCACATATATGTGTATTTTGGGAAGGCAGCAGTGAGCCATTATCGACTCTGGGCGACAGAGCAAGCTATCTGTCTCTTAAAAATATATATGTGTGTGTATTTATATATACATAAATATATATAAAATATTAAAATATATATAAAGTATATAAAAATAAATAAAACAAACATATATATATTTAAGAGACAGATAGCTTGCTCTATCGCCCAGAGTCGATTACGGCTCACTGCTGCCTTCCCAATTCTAGGCTCAAGCCATCCTCCCGCCTCAGCCTCCCGTGTAGCTGGGACTACTGGTACAGGTGCGCGCCACAGCATCCGGCTAATTAAAAGTTTTTTTTGTACAGATGGGATCTTTTTGGGGGGCGTGGTTGGGGGAGGGGGCAGTGTCTCACTCTGTCGCCCAGGCTGGAGTGCGGTGGCGCAGTTTAGGCTCACTACAAACTCCGCTTCCTGGGTTCAAGCGATCCTTCCGCCTTAGCCTCCCAAGTAGCTAGGACCACAGGCGCGCCACCACGCCGGACTAATTTTGTTTGTTTGTTTGTTTGTTTTTTAAGTGGAGACGGGGTTTCATCATATTGGCCAGGCTAGTCTTGGATCACCCCAGGTGATCTGCTCACCTCGACCTCCCAAAGTGCTGGGATTACAGGTGTGAGCCACCGCACTTAGCCTAAAAAGGCTTTTACTTCTTCACTTGATTTTCACAGTAACTCTGTGAGTTAAGTAGACACTTTTTGGGAAGTGGCAAAATATACATAACTTAAATTATATCACTTTAACCATATATATATGGTTTTATTTATTTATTTATTTTTGAGACAGGCTTTCACTGTGTTGCCCAGGCAGGAATGCAGTGGTGCAATCATGGTCCACTTGCAGCCTTGACCTCCTGGGCTAAAGCCATCCTTTCACCACAGCCTCTCAAGCAGCTGGGACCACAAGCACATGCCACCACATCCAGCTAATTTTAAAAATTATTTTAGAGACAGGGGTCTCCCTATGTTGCCCAGGGTTGTCTCAAACTCCTGGGCTCAAGTGATATTTCCACTTCGAACTCCCAAAGTGCTGGGATTATAGGCATGAGCTACTGTGTCCAACTTCTTTTATCCCCACCCCCCTTTTTTTAAATTGGGTTGTTTACATTTATCTTTTTGATCTGTAGCAGCTCTTTATGCATTTTGTATATTATTATTTTTTAATGTGTAGCAAATATTTTCTTCCACAGTATAGTGTAGGGAAGGCAACATAAGATGGTGGCTATGCACACACACTGGAATCTAACTGGGTTTGAATTCCAGCTGTGCTACTTAGTTGTATCATCTTGAGCAAGTTACATAACTCTATGTGCCTTAGTTTCCTTATCTGTGAAATGGAAATACTCATAGTTCCTATCGCACATGGTTTTTTGGTATGCTGTGTCTTCACCTCATCTGGTCTTGAAGATTAAATGAGTTAATTCAGGTACAGAGCTGGAGTCACTGACTGGTGAAAGGCTGACATTGATTGAGTGCTTTCTATTTATCACTTGGTTTCTCACTTTCTGGTATCTTTTTTTGGTATATACATATTTTCATATTTGTAGAAAATCTGTCTCTCTTATTTATGTGAACTAAATGTTCTGGATGTTTTGTTTTATGATTAGGAAGGCTATTCCCAAGATGTATACTCTACAATGAAATGGTAACAATTGTGAACTACTATGAATTGGACAACCAAATAGAGCAGAATCTGTCAGAAACAGGAGCAGAAGTTGCTATACATACCAAACTATTCTATGAGTGGGATATAACAGGGATTTAGGGAATCTTAAACAAAGGTTAAATTGTTTTATAATATTGTTAAAATTTATGGGAAGTCATTGATTTGGACTGAGCTCCTGCACTAGTCTATTTGCTTGTAAGGTCTGCGTTCCAGGAAATCAGGAGAGATGATAGCCAAATCCATTAAGCCAAATGGCGTCTGCTTTTCCTTCCCTGTTTCTGCTTTCTTCAACCTTTTCTGCGTATAAACCTCACCCTGCCCCCTCATCAGAGATCCTTTCTATTTTGTAGAAAGGTTTAGGAATATCTAATGATAGCCAATTAGATCTTTAAAACTCGATTTCCTGAAATTTTATTATTTTACAATATTTTCATTGAACTTTGTGCTGCCCACAAGGGTAGTCATTACCCAAGTGTGCCTGTTGAGGCCTTGCCATGAGTTTAGTCCAGATTGAGATGTGCAGTATGTGCAAAGTACACGTCAAATTTCAAAGGCTTCGTATAAGAGAATATGTAAAATATCTTACTTTTTATTGGCTACATGTTAAAGTGATACAATCACAGCTCTGTTGTGTTAAATTTAAAAAATATATATTTTAAAAAAGCAGGGCACAGTGATTGGACTATGAGCCCCACCTTTCCCCGTCCCCGGGAATCTGAGCCCGCCCCTCGGCGGCTGCAAGGAGGACCCGGAGGTGGCTCAGTCTCTGCGGACTCCGGGAAGGCGGTGTCCGCCGCCCCGCCCCTCCCCGCCGCTCCGCCCCTCCCCGCCGCTCCCTTCCCGCCCCTTCCGTTCCCCGGGCGCGTGCGCCCTCTTATTCGGCTCTCCTAGGTTTCCTGGGGTCCTGCCCCTTTGAGCTGGGGCGGGAGCAGAGGACCCCGCGCTCAGGGGTTGCCAGACAATGCGTTGGGGGCTGCGCCCTCGCGGGCCGGAGGCGGCCGCCCTGGCCACTGTCCGAAGTTTGTGGGGGACGCCCCGCCTTCCCTGCAGCCCTGGATGGCAAGGGGCGACGAAGAGACTTCTGGTGCGGTCGGTCTCCGGGGCCAGTAACCACCAGCCGAACTCGAATACTGGCAGATACCGGGACACGGTGCTGCTGCCGCGGACCAGCTTCCCCATGAAGCTGCTGGGCCGCCAGCAGCCGGACAAGGAGCTGGAGATCCAGCAGGTACGGGCCCCGTCTCGGCGGAGGGCCTCCGGAGAGACCCGATCCGGCTGTGGGCACAGGGCGCTCGGCAGGAGCCACACCTCTGTGCTCCACGCGGGTGCGGGTGGGCGGGGGTGTGACCAGATCGGCGGCATTCATCTGCTTCGCACAGATTTTGTGGGCTGAAAACCTAAGTGAAGAAATCTCTAGATGAATCCCTCCTTTGTAGCAGGTTCCGGAGCGGGAAATTAAGGGGTCACTAGTGATGCCTAGATACCAGCATGTATCGCACGTACGTCCCATTTCTGTCGTAAGCAAAAAAGATCGACTTAGGGCACTTTTCCAGTGCCTTGTAAAAAGCAAATTCACGTGTCCACATGTAAATAAAAACCCAGGCTGGGCGCGGTAGCTCACGCCTGTAATCCCAGCACTTTGAAAGGCCAAGGCAGGAGAATCTCTTGAGCCAAGAGTTCGAGACCATATTGGCTGGACAGCCTCACCGCCCCCATCCTTAAAAAAAACCTTAAAAACCTCAATTATGATGAATGAAGGGGAAGTTGAAGCCCACTTTTTGGATCTTTTAGATCTCTAGTTGGAATTATGACTCGTTTGAAATATATAGTAGCAGTACTTCCTCTGCTGAGTCCCCTTTATAGACTATGTGTCTGTATGTGTCTGTCTCCTGTTTTAGATTGAGCTTTTTTTTTTCCGGAGACAGAGTCTTGCTCTCTCGCCCAGGCCAGAGTGCAATGGCGCGATCTCGGCTCACTACAACCCCCGCCTCCCGGGTTCAAGCGATTCTCCTGCCTTAGCCTCCCGAGTCACTGGGATTACAGGTGCGCACCACCACTCCCGGCTAATTTTTATATTTTTAGTAGAGATGGGGTTTCACCATGTTGGCCAGAGTGGTCTCGAATTCCTGACCTCAAGTGATCCTCCCGCCTCGGCCTCCCAAAGTGCTGGGATTACAGGCGTGAGCCACTGTGCCCAGCCTAGACTGAACTTTGTAAGGGCAGAGATTCCTCTTGTTAGTTTCTGTAATTCTAGTCTTTAAAAATCCCTGATATTCTTGGAATATTGGTTAGGTAAATATACTTAGCCTAAATATTCTGACAGTTATAAGAGTTCATCTAATTTTTTAAAGGCTTTTTAGTACCTTCTGTATGCCAGAAAGAGTGACAGTTTCAAATGTTTTCTCGTTTAATTTTCACACCAGCCCTGTACGATAGATATTAACACTTTTTTTTTTTTCAGATGAGAAAGCAGACCCATAAGTGCACAGTAACTTGGCCAAGATCACAGCAAGTGAGGGAAGGGAACTGAGACTGCCATGCACGTTGTTCCCAGATTTGGGGAATGGCAAGCATTGCAGCCAAAGAATAGCAAGAATATGTGTGTCGGGAATCTGCAGGTCCTTCAACATGGCGGGGATGAGGAGTGAAGCCTGGGAAGTGATGAGAGAATGCACGAGAACTTAGTGGAACTAAACCTTTGTGGGGTCCTGCATATCATATAGAGTTTAGACTTCAATCTGAGGTGTATGGGGAAACTACTGAAAGATTTTAAGAGATGTGTACTTAGACACGCATTTCAGAAACCTCACCTTGTGTTTCAGAGTTCAGTAGATTGGAATGGAATGGATTGGAATGGAAATAAGCAAGTGTTGGCTGTTATTTATGGTTAGACTCAGGAGTATGTATTTATATGATGTTTAGATATCGTTGTTCTATTTAAACAGAAATGTGGATTTTCAGAACTTTATTCATGGCAAAGAGAAAGAAAAGTAAAGACAGAATTTTGCCTTCATGATGGACCTCCTTATGCAAATGGTGACCCTCATGTTGGACATGCTTTAAATAAGGTAACTGTAATTTAGGTTATGACACTTAAAAGAAAGTGTTTATGTAAATACTCTTTATAAAAGTGTATTCTAATTATATGATAATTATGTAAATTTACATTTGCACATAAAACTAAAACATTTTCATAGAAAGCAGTATACAATTTTAGTACTGCATGAAAAAAGCATTGGTGGTATTTGCTTTGAGCTTGATGTTATATTAGTAAACATCATCTTATTCAGTACATAATTATTGTGCGAGACATTGTTCTAGATTCCAGGAATTTGGTCACTGAATGGGTCAATAGTGCTATTAGAGACCAGGCGCAGTGGCTTACGCCTGTAATCCCAGCACTTTGGAAAGCTGAGGTGGGTGGATCACTTGAGGTCAGGAGTTCGAGACCAGCCTGGCCAACATGACAAAACCCTGTCTCTACTAAAAATACAAAAATTAGCTGGGTTTGGTTGTGCATGCCTGTAATCCTAGCTACTTAGGAGGCTAAGGCAGGAGAATCATTTGAACCCCGGAGCGGGGGAATGGAAATTGTAGTGAGCTGAGTTCATGCCACTGCACTCCATCCTGGGTGACAGAGCGAGCCTGTCTCAAAGTAAAAACAAAAAAAAAACCACAAACTGCTATTAGAGTAGTATACATTGCATGTTATGCCGTAAATTATATTGAAAACTTCTGAAACATTTGAGACGTGTTATACATCTTGCATATTTCTCAGTATTAGTGACCTCCACAGAAGCCAAACTATGCTCTACTGCTTTATAGTTCACTTTCGAATTTTTAGACATATTATATCAGATGGTAAAAATAAGCATTTACTTCTTTCAGTGGACAAAACTGATGTGCTTGATTTTATTTTGGTACATGCTATTTGATATCAATTTCATTAAAATTTTATTTTTGTTAAACTTGATATTTGAGCTGTAGATTTAAATGAAATTTTAAGAATACAGCTATCTTGTACATCTTACTCAGTTTTCCCCAATGATGACATCTTGCAAAACTATAGTATATTACAACTAGGGTATTAACATTGATACAGTTAAGATGCTGAACTTTACTATATGAATCCCTCATGTTGCCCTTTTATAACCAAGTCATCTTCCTTTTGTTGCACCCGCCCTTGAATTCCTTTCAACTACGAATATATTCTCCATTTCTATATTTTTGTTATTTCAAGAATACTATGCAAATGAAAACATAGTTTATAACCTTTTGGGATTGACTTTTTTTCACTCAGCATGAATCCCTTGAGAGTCATCCAAGCTTTTTAGTAGTTTTATTTTTTCATTGCTGAGTGGTATTCTATGGTGTGGATGTATCACAGTTTGTTTACCCATGAACCTGTTGAAGTACAACTGGGTTCTTTACAGTTTCTGGCTATTATGAATAAAGGTGCTAAAAACATTCATGTACAGGTTTTATGTGAATGTAATTTTTTTTTTTTTTTTTTTGAAACAGGCTCTTTCTCTCACCCAGGCTGGAATGCAGTGGTGCAATCACAGCTCACTGCAGCCTCAACCACCTGGGCTCAAGCAATCCTCTCATCTCAGCCTCCCAAGTAGCTGAGATCACAGGTGTAGGCCAGCATGCCTGGCTAATTTTTATATTTTTTGTAGAGATAGCAGTTTGCCATGTTGCTCAGGTGGGTCTTGAACTCCTGGACTCAAGCAGTTCACCTGCTTCAGCCTCCCAAAGTGCTGGGATTACAAGTGTGAGCCATTGTGCCTGGCTGTGAATTTTCATTTCTCTGGGATAAATGCCCAAGATTGCAGTTCCTGGGTTGTATGGTAGTTGCATGTTTAGTTTTTTAAGAAAATGCCAGACTGGTTTCCAGAATGGCTGTACTGTTTTACATTTTTCTTTTCTTTTCTTTTCTTTTTTGAAATGGAGTCTTCCTCTTTTGCCCAGGCTGGAGTGCAGGGGTACAATCTTGGTTCACTGCAACCTTCGGCTCCCAGGTTCAAGTGATTCTTCTGCTTCCGTCTCCCAAGTAGCTGGGATTACAGGTGTCTGCCACTATGCCTGGCTAATTTTTGTATTTTTAGTAGAGATGGGTTTTGCCATGTTGGCCAGGCCGGTGTTGAACTCTTGACCTCGAGTGAGTCACCTGCTTCTGCCTCCCAAAGTGCTGGGGTTACAGGTGTGAGCCACCATGCTCAGCCCCATTTCACATGCTTATTTAGCAGTGTATGAATGATCTGGTTTCTCTGCATTCCTGCTAGCATTTGGGTGTTGTGACTATTTTAAATTTTAGCCATTCTAACAGGTATGTAGTGATGTCTCATTTTGCTTTTAATTTGCATTTTCATATTGGCTAATGATGTTGTAAGCCTTTCCATATATTCATTTGCCATGGGTTGAATCTCTTTGGTGAAATGTCCCTTTATGTCTTTTGTCCATTTCTTAATTGGATTTTTTTTCTTTTTACTGTTAAGTTTTGAGAGTTCTTTATATATTCTAGGTAATAAACGTTTTTTCAGATATGTGATTTGCAACTATTTTCTCTCAATCTGTAGTTTTTCTTTTCAATCTTTTATCAGGGTCTGTTGCATAGTAAAATTTTTTAATTTTGATGAAGTTCAATTTGTCATTTTATTCTTTTATGAATCATACTTTTAGTGTCATATCGAAGATAATTCTTTGCCTAACCCTAGAACCTGAAGATTTTCTCATACATTTTTTTATTGTGTATATAGATATATTTTTTTTGTTTTTTAGACGGGGTCTTGCTCTGTCACCCAGGCTGGAGAGCAGGGGCACTATCTCGCTCACTGCAAGCTCTGCCTCCCAGGTTCACACCATTCTCCTGCCTCAGCCTCCCCAGCAGCTGGGACTACAGGTGCACGCCGCTATGCCCAGCTAATTTTTTGTATTTTTAGTAGAGACGAGATTTCACTGTGTTAGCCAGGATGGTCTTGATCTCCTGACCTCGTGATCCACCCGCCTCGGCCTCTCAAAGTGTTAGGATTACAGGTGAACCACTGTGCCTGGCCTTTCTCATATATTTTTTATAAACGTTTTACATTTTATATTTAAGTCTGTGATCCATTTTGAGTTAATTGTTTTATAATGTGTAAGACTTAGGTCATGGTTTATTTTTTTCCCATATGGATGTCTAGTTGGTTTGGTATCATTTGTTGAAAAGGCTGTCTTTCCACAATGAATTGCTTTTGTACCACGTCAGAAATTAGTTGGGCATATTTGTGTGGATTTATTTCTGGATGCTCTGTTCTGTTCCATTGATCTATGTGTCCATTTCTTTGTGAATACCACGGTTTTGATTATTGTAGCTACAGAATAAGTATTGAAATTGGGTAGACTGATTCCTCTTATATTATTCCTTTTCAAAATTGCTTTAGCTGTTTTAGTTCCTTTGCTTTTCTATATAAATTTTGAAATAATCTTTTCTGTTGCCACACACACAAAAACTTTTGCTGGGATTTTTATAGGGATACATTAAAACCCATATGTTAGTTTGCGGGGAGTTGACATCTTTATTATGTTGACTCTTCCAATCTATGAACATGGTATATCTTTCTGTTTATTTAGGTCTTTGATTCTTTCATCAGTGTTTTGTAATTTCAGCATATAATCTGGTAACATGTTTTCTGTTTCTTTTTTTTAAGTGATTGTAAATGATATTATACAGGTTGAACATTCCTAATCTGAAAATTTGAAATCTGAAGTACTACAAAATTAGAAACTTTTTGAGCACTGACATGATGCCACAAGTGGAAAATTTTATACCTGACCTCACATGACAGATGCAGTGAATACTGTTTCATGCACAGAATTGTTTAAAATATTATATAAAATTACCTTTAGGCTATGTGCATAAGGTATTTATGACACATAAGTGAATTTCATGTGTAGAGTTGGGTCCCGTGCCCAAGATATCGTATTATGTATGTGCAAATATTCTAAAGTCTGAAAAACTCCCAAATCTGGAACATTCTAGTCCCAAGCATTTTGGAGAAGGGTACTCAACCTGTATTTTAAATTTTTATGTCTATATGTTCATGGCTAGTATATAAAATATAATTTTAAATGTTTATTTTGTATCCTGTGACCTTCTTGAATATCTTTTTTGTTTCTCTATTTCTTCTTTACTGCTTTCTTTTACATTGAGTGAATATTTTGTAACGAAGCATATAAGTTTATTTTTTATTTTTTTTTAGAGACACTGTCTTATTTTGTCTCCTAGACTGGAGTCTGGTCATGTGATTATAGCTCACTGCAGCCTTGAACTCTTGGACTCAGGCATTCCTCCTGCCTCAATCTCCTAAGTAGCTGGGACAACAGGCACACACCTCCACACTTGGCTAGTTTCTTTTATTTATTGTAGAGATAGGGTTTTGTTACATCGCCCAGGCTGGTATCAAACTCCTAGCCTCAAGTGATCCTCCTGCTTCAGCCTCCCAAAGTATCATGATTATAGGTGTGAGCCACTATGCCCAGCTGCATTTACATTTCTTTAATGAATTTTTTAGATGTCTTTAATGACATTTTTAGTGTGTTTTTTGAGATAGTTTATTAGTGGTTGCCCTAGAGCTTACCAGGTACATTTTAACAGAATCAGCTTCAGGTTTATGCTGGCTTAGTTTAAGTAAAATATAGAAATATTACTCATATTCTCTTTTCTCCCTTCTTGTGGTTTTGTTGTTATGCATATTACATCTATTTATGTTACAAACCTTGCATTACTTTGTTATAATTATTACTTTGCCTTTTTTTTTGAGATGGAGTCTCGCTGTGTCGCACAGGCTGGAGTGTAGTGGCGCGGTCTTGGTTCACTGCAACCTCTGCCTTCCAGGCTCGAGCGATTCTCCTGCCTCTGCCTCCCGAGTAGTTGGGATTACAGGCGCCCACCACCACACCTGCCTAATTTTTTTGTGTATATATATTTTTTAATGGATATGGGGTTTTGCCATGTTGGTCAGGCTGGTCTCAAACTCCTGACCTCAGGTGATCACCCGCCTTGGCCTCCCAAAGTGCTGGGATTACA